GAGTGTCTGTAGTAGAGACTGGAGTGTCTGGATTTAGGATGGCAAAAGAGTTGACTGGGGAAGGTAGGAGGTAGAAGAGGGGGAGTTAGTTGGAGGGGGGGTAGGTTTAGGAGAGGGTGTAGGAGCTTGGGAGGTAGGGGAAGTGGTAGAATGAGCAATATTACTGGAGTAAGGATTAAGAGAAAAACCTCATCGACGTGCTTCCTGTCTGGCTTCACGTAGTGTGAGTCCAAGTTTGAATCTGAGAGTTGCTACCTCAGACTCAAATTTGTAGGTGGGGCAGCTCCTATAAAATACATTATGAGGGCCACCACAGTTGGCACAAATGGGTGATTGTGCAGAGCAGTTTGATCGAGTATGGCCAGGTTGGGCACATAATGGGCATCTGGCTGTGGAACGGCAATGTATGGCTGGGTGTCCTAAACGCCAACAATTTTGGCACTGACGAGGAGGAGGTTGGTATGGTCAGACAGGGAGGGATTCTCCACCTATGTAAACATTAGATAGAAGGTCATGTCTACGGAAAGTAATTTTGACGATGTTAGTGGGTTTCTTACGATGACCTCTAGGAGGAATGGACTAGCATTGTACTGATGTCGCATCATAGTCTGTGAGACAGGCGAGTAAGTCTTCTCCACAATCTGACCAATCTTTGTCATAGATTGGGCAATTTGCTGGGGAGATAGAAACAGTTCCAGTGCAAGTATTGAGGGTTGGATGGGGTTCTGCAAGGATGGGGTTACCATATAGATCAGTTAGTTTTGCTAATGCTATAGCTTGGTTTTCGGATGTTACTGTGACGAGATGGGAGCAGTCGGGTCGGCTACGGAAAGAGACTTTGCCTACTTGTTTTTGGAGACATTGCTGGAAGAGAATGGTGTTGTCAGAGTAGGGAGCTGTGGGAGGGATCACAAAAAATCGGTCCCATTTGGCTGGGCTAAATGGAGACTGTTGAAGAGATAGGGGTAGTAGAAAGGCGGGGGCGTGTCGAAGAGGGAGTAGCGTTGAGGGAGGTAGTGTTATGGAGAGGTGGGCAATAAGGTATTAATAAGGGAGGATGGGGTAGTTGATGTAGAAGGTTGTGGGAAAGAGGTGTTGAGCATGATGGGAGAGTAGGAATGTCTGGTGCCTGGTGTCAGTGAATCGGGAGGATTTGAATTGTTGGGGCTATTTGATGTAGGGGAAAGCCTCAATGCCCCTAATTGTGGAATTACGTTTTCATTATTGGCCATGGTAAGCCTGGAGTATGTTGGGGAGAGAAACAGTCCACCTCTCAGGGGCCCCTTGAGGAGTAAGGGCTAGGCCTAAGCAGGGGAATACCGTGCCCATGGCTCCCTCAGGCTGTTCAAGACTGGCACAAAGTCAGCCTTTCATCCTTCCAGCACGGCTCTCACACCTTAGGAGGTGATAGCAGAAGGGATTGGTGAAGGGACAGAAATGAAAAAGTAGGAAGGGAAAAAAAGACCATGCAAAATTAGTCGAGTCTAGGGCTGAGTCCCAAGGTTGGGGAGCTCCCCATCATTGGGTCCCGGTCTCCGCCTCCTAAGCCCCCCCACGACAACAACAGGCAAGGGATTGGGGGAGTAAGACCCAAGGTAGGGGTGATCCCTGGTATTGGGCATGAGTCTCTTTCACTTCAGCCCCCCAATGGCAATGGGCTAGGGATTGGGGGGGAAGAAAGGAGGAAAATAAAATCCAATTGGATGTAACAATCATTTAGCAATATGTATTTATTTTTGGTGTAGTCAGTAAGTAATAATAAAAAAATACAGTAAATTGCCTTCTGTCACTAGAAACCCATAATCAGAATTTTTGTATATGTAATGATGGTGTATATGTAAAGAATATAAAATGTATGTCTGAAGTTAAATGCATGCTGAGGAATTGTTCATTTTATATAGTTATTAACATCAATAAATATGATTTCTTTGTTACATTGCATAATCAGTAAAGTCAGTAGCTGTAGCTAATAATTTCTTAAGTTTTAAGAAAGAAAGAAAAAAAGAAAAACAGAACTTTACCAAAAAATATAAAGATGCAATTTCAGAGATCTCATCTAAAAATGAGAAAAGTAAATCAAGTATGATTAAATATATCCTTGGAATGTATTTTTCTACTGAACTTTTTTCAGGACATTCTTTTCTTCCTACTTTACTTGTAACTGTATCAGTCTTATGGCAAAATGAAGAGAATTTATATAAAAAAAAGCATCAAGTAAAATTCAAGCTCTTGTGCAGATTCACAAATTAAAGAGGTATTCACAACAGACATCATATCCAAATTAGTGCGCCATTTGAGATCACTTTACACAAATCACAGTTGGACAACAGATACTACCCTCTTTATACTTTAGCACACAAGTGATTACACCCTGGATTGACACTGTAATAGGAACTATAGTTTTCATCTTAATGAACCTTAGCTTCTTTGGATGCTCTACTTAGATCTGGCTTTCACTAGTCATCTCTCTCAACCTCTTCTTCCTCCTGCAGTATGGATG